TGAGGTCACCTGAGGACAGGCTGAGAGGTTCTACAGTTCAAGGCTTCTGGAGCCCTTCCACCCTTCCTGAAACTAGAGAACGTTCTAGAACAGGGGAGCAGGAGGGGAGAAGGCCATATCTGGATGTTTGAGGGACCTTAGCCAATCCCCTGACAAGAGGCTGCGCAAGGTGACCAGGGCAACATTCATATATCACAGAGCCTGGGGAGAAGTGTGCAGTGTCGGGTGGAAGATGGACTGAGAGGAAGGCTGGAGTGAGGAGCCTGGGAGGGGGCCCCAGGGAGAGGAGCCTACCTACAAGCAGAGTGCTGGATGGGAAGATCTCTACTGCCTCAACGTCTCCCAGGGAGGACAATTTGTTAGCCGGGAAAAAAGCCAGCACAGCATAAGGTTTAAGGCAGCTATCAACCCACCATGCCAGCAGGTGAGGACAGTGTGAGTACTCCTACATCCCCTGGGGATAAGAGGAGAGGGCGGCCAGGTGCAATGCCCAACTAGTCTTCATCCGGGACTGCTTAACTGCAAGCTCTTGGGACCTCCTTGCTCAGGGATACCCTCACTACAGCTGACTGGAGGGGAGGATTCATCTGGGGTCTGAGGAGGTACACCAAAAAATGACTATAACATTCCTTAACAGAGACTGTTGCTATATTTTGTTTTTTGTTTGCTAGTTCGATATGTTGTACCTAATTGCTAAGAAATTTGTCCTCAATTGTCGCAGTTCCTTGGACATCTCATATACCACTAGACCCCGTCCAAGCTGTTAACCCCTTAATAAAAACAACTAAAACCAGTTTATGGACTGTTTACTGACTCTGAGGGTACAAGTGTGGAAAATGCATGTTGCCTGGCTGTGCCGAGCATAGTGGGACCCAAACAAATCCAGTGGCCCCTAAGGGGGTAGTGCTACACCAGTATATTCAGCTATCAGCCAGGCTGACATGTGAATGCAAACAAGCGATAGTGTGAGGGAAAAAAAAAACGGTATGTACGACCACAGACACTGTGCGGAGTGTTGTACTGCACTGATGATTGATTTTGTTTCTGTAGTAGTTTATTCAGTTGTGATTTTTATTGTTAGATAGCGTTGCACCTATTTATCTTTTTGGAACCTTGTCACTTGACTCCTGACATCTCCTGGTCCCTGCAATGTGAACATATTTGGTCAATCACATCATCCAGGAGATCCGGGATGATATGGGTGACATTGCAACACCTATTACAAAACGTATTAGTAGTTACTTTTGTGGGATGATGGGGACATTTGCATAGCAAATTTTTACAAATAAATCCTTAAAGTCCCATACACACGATGAGACTATCAGGCGAATGATTGCCCCCTTTTGTTTGCATGCTAGCCTCATATTGAAAGTGAAGAGGTTGCTAACATTACGAAAATTCTCGTACGACAGAAAGAAAATTCGGAAGTGATGTCCTGTATTTGTACGATGTCTGGTATCGTACGAGAAAAATTTTCATGCTTGTCTCTTCAAATCATTTCAGATGAAAGCCGTGTACTAACGATCAGATTATCGTACAATCCCTTGGAAAGGGGTACTTCTTGTACAATTTTCTAACTGTGTGTATGGGGCTTAAGACTTCGTCCACCCCTGGCTGCTTCCAACTCTTAGATATTCCCATTGTGAGATCTCTCTGGCAGCATTCATATGCTCGTCCACCATGGGATATTCTTGCTGTATAACAAATCCAACAGGGAGATCAGGATCCCCTCATCTTGTAAAGGAAAAAAGAAAAGACAAACCACGCCAGTGCACAAATCCCAGCTTCCAAAGTCCAATATGTTTGCCTTGCAACAGAAGAATGGGGGGGGGGGATTAACCAGGTGGTGTGAATTCCGGGGATCCTGCAGTTTCCTTTTACAATTCGGGATGATCCAACCAAAGCTCAAGACAGAAAGGACAGGAGCACGGGATCCCAATTAAAATTCTCATTAGTTTTTTTTAAATAAAAATGTTAAAAAGCACACTTACAGCTAGGTAACTGTACATCGGCATGAAGTGTGGGGACGGGGATGTCACATCAGTGAGACTATACATAGGTTTGAGATTTGACAAAGAAGGATACACCCTAGAAAACACATTATCACCCCTTCTGATTTACGTACGGTGGTGTTGGATGCTGCATGTGGCTGACAACTGGCTATGCACTGAGGGGTCCCTCTAGGTTGGCATTGGGGTTGTGAGCCGCTGCCGGTGGGTACGGCCTCACTGATGTGAAATCCCGATCTCTACACTTCCTGCTGATGTACAGTTACCTACTGTAGATGTAAGTGTGCTTTTTATCATTTTAATAAAATGCTATTGTGAATTTTAATTGGGAACCCGCTGACAGCTGGTGAGTCATCGGTTGTTAAGGATGCAGCAGACAGCTTCCTGGCCTGCTCCTTGGCAACCAGCTATTGTTCAAGACATCAGTGGCTGCTGGCTCCAAACATTTGCATCTGAACAACAGGTTTGGAAATTCGTAAAACACGGACAGGAAATTCGCACTGGACATGTGTGAGCCTAGCCTTAGGCAAATTAGGTGGCCTTGTGGCCAATGTGAGTACGAGGCTCTAGGCAACTGACTAATTTTCCTAATTATTTTCAATAATTTTTATTGACATTTTCACATGTACAAAAATATAACCCCCTGTAACTACAGAGGAGAAATATAGAAAATAAAGTAAATATATAGGAAAGAAAAATTAGCCTCCCACTGCATACACATGACCATACATCAATAGATGAGAATAGAATAAACTCTCCAACAGTACAACAAAGTTGTGATTCAACCGTTAAGGCTGGATCTGGACGTATTCATGACTCTATCCTTCAAGTACCAATTTTCCAAAGTTTTCCAATATTGCCAATCATTGCCAAAGGATTGTATATGTCTGACCTGCATGCTAACAGTCTCTCAAAAGAATAGATAGATTGGGAAATAGAGATTACTTCGGACAAATTGGGTGCCTTGTCTGCCCTCCAATGTCTTGTTATAGTCAAATGAGCAGCTAGTAATATACAGGTAATTGCGAAACATGACAGGGAAGTCATCAATTCTTACATTTAAAATTGCTAGATCTGGTGTAGGCTTAGTCAGTACTCCCGTGACAGTGGAGCGGAGTCGGAACACACTTTGCCAGAAGCTACAAAGATTCTTGCATGACCAGAAGACGTGTAAGAGATTGCCCACTTGGCCACAACCTCTCCAACACAAAGGAGAACCTCCGGAGTATAATGAGCTATACGGTACGGAGTGAGGTACCATCTGGATATTATTTTTTGTGTGAGTTCCCAGTAGGGTGTCTAATTGTAAGAGAGGGGGAGGTGATTTCAATAGAAAATGGCGAATACTAAACAACTTAACCATTTCAATACCGGGCACTTTTACCCCCCCCTGCCCCAGGCCATTTTTCACGTTTCAGCGCTCTCACAATTTGAATGACAATTGCGCGGTCATACAACATTGTACCAAAACTAAAATGTTATCATTTTCGTCACACAACTAGAGCTTTCTTTTGGTGGTATTTAATCATCGCTGGGGTTTTTATTTTTTGCTAAATTAACAAAAAAAGACCAAAAATTAAAAAAAAAAAAACACGTTTTTCTTTGTTTCTGTTACAAAAGTTTGCAAATAAATAATTGTTCTTCATAAATGTAGGCGGAGATGTATTCTGGTGAAAATAACCCAAATTAGGATGTATTATTTAGTTTGTAGGAAAGTTATAGAGTTCGCAAACTATGGTATAGATCTGAAAATTGATCAATCCTGAAGTACTGACGGCCAATCTAATTTCTTGAGGTCCAAGAATGTCAGGACGGTACAGATATCCCCCAAATTACCCCTTTTTGCAGAGTAGACAGTCCAACGTACTTCATAAGAGGAATTTTTTTTAAGTTGTATTTTTTTTGTCATAATTTTTCGGAAAATCAAAAAATTAAAAAAAATTATTTTTACTATTTTTTTTTTACATACTGTCACCGCACTGGTGTACAGCGTCATCATATAACTGGCATGGTGGTGATCAGGGACACTGACTGGTGACAGTATGAAAAAAAAAAATATTTTTTTAATTTTTTTTATTTTTTTTTTATTATTTTTAATTTTTATTACATTTTTTTCATTTTTTTCTTTTTTTTAAGTTTTTCTTTTTCATATTTCACTATGACTAAAGTAGTACAATGTTACCATAGTAACATTGTACTACTTTGGGGAAGTGATCAGTATTTTTTTTTTTTTTTACACAATTTACTTATAGCAAAGAATTACTTTGCTATAAGCAAGCATTTACCTGAATGACATCAATTCATTCAGGGTTTTGTTTTTTTTTTTGTCTTTTTGTGCTTAGCTGTGATTTTTGCCACAGCTAATCACATGACATGTGCATGTGACCTGATGTGACCATTCACAGCTAGACACTAGTATACAATGGATGGCATGAATGAAGCCATCCATTGTATACAACTGTCATGTGACCTGCTGTGATTGGTCACAGCAGGTCACATGGTACCGGCAACGGGGGCCGGTACTCAGATCTGTCATCGGCCATGTCCGAGGTACACAGCCGGTAACAGATCGCGCCGCTGTGCGGCTCTGCAAGCGCGCAAACTGCACATGCCCGGGAGTACGCTATATGGCGTCCACCCGGAAATCTGATGCATTTTTGCAGCCGCCAAATGGCTATTGGCCGGGCGGCTAATAGTTAAAGAGTATTGACAATGAAAATTTGTTCCCCTTTTGTAGATCTCATAGACTTTTAAGTTTGGTCTATTCATACAAATCTGTTACATTATGTAACCCATAACTAGACCAGTCAGTATCCGCCAAGTGCGGAAGGAGAATATTTAGAACATTCGCGGGTATAGATACGTCAGCAGGGGAAGAAATGGCAGTCTGAGGTTTAGTAGCTAATCTCCAAGCCATTAGCGAGGCTTTTACCATGATAGGTAGTTTATTTAACCTCCCTGGTGGTTTTCCCGAGTGTAGCTCGGGGTAGAATTTCTATACCACAAGCGATAACCCCGAGCTACACTCGGGCTTACCATGCGGCGCTGCTCTGGGGGTCCCTGCAGCACTTACCTTGTCCTTCGTTCCCACGATGTGTCCCCTGCAGCGTCCCCGGCCATCTCCTCCGGCCGATGCCGGCATCCGGCTTCTGTGTTCCGGTCCCCGTGACGTCGGGACGTACGGGCGCCGCCGCCGGCGGCGGCGGGAAATTTAAAAAATTTAAAAAATGTCATTTTTTTTTTTTTCAATTTTAAATAGTAAAACATTGCTGTTTCATCCCATTTCACATACATATTGTCCCGAGTGCTTTGTCCGGCGCCCTGCCTGCATTTTGTCTGTTCTTTCTGCCTGGAAACTTAGAAAAGTCCATGGCGTCCAAAAAGCGTCCCTTTAGGTCAAAAGCGGTTTTAGACCGGCTAGAGAACAGCGATAGTAAATCAGAACCACTTACAGAATTGAGTGATAATGATTTGTGGGGAAATTTTCCTAAAAATTACAGCCTACAATAAAAAACTATTTCAATGCGAAAAAATGGTACCGCTTTCAGCACAAAAAATCAGAAGGAATCATACCACCAAGGAGGTTAAGGACTGTGGAACCCATAAGTAAGCTAGTAATAGGTTGCGGAGGTCATGAGTCGGTATGGATACTGTTTCTATGTCCACCCACAAGTGGTCTGAGGGCGAGTAGAACCAATGTTCAATCTGCGTAGCAGTCTTTAATATCTCCTAGCCCTATACCTCCCACTGATTTATGTTTAATAAGTTGGGCGCATGAGCATCTATCCCATTTCTGGTTCCATAGATATTTTTTAAACAGTGATTCTAGGGAAGATAGATATGAGGATTTGAGGGGAATGGGGGGAGTTCTGAAAAGATAAATTATTTGTGGTAGGTATAACATTTTGAAAACAGCTAGTCTACCTGTCCAGGATAGCTCAAATCTGGCTGTGCATGTAAGTTCATTGCTGAGCTTTTTAATAAGGGGCTGAAAATTAGATTCCGCTAAAGTATCAGTGGAGGGGGTTAAGATGATACCTAGATATGGCAGTCCTCCAGAAGTCCAAGTATAGGGAAAGGAGGTTTCTAAGGCTGTTTTAGCCAATGCACAAATTCCTAGGTTTAAGGCAGTGTTTCTCAACTCCAGTCCTCATGGACCCCCAACAGGTCATGTTTTCAGGATTTCCATTATTTTGCACAGGTGATTTGATCAGTTTCACTGCCTTAGTAATTACCACAGCTGTTTCATCTGAGGGAAATCCTGAAAACATGACCTGTTGGGGGTCCATGAGGACTGGAGTTGAGAATCACTGGTTTAAGGTAAGAGATTGCAAAAAATTTGCCTTGTAGTATGAAATGGCGCCAAATTGTGAAAAAATAGAATGTACTTGTGGTAATGATTTTGTAGGGTTTGTTAACACCAGAATCACATCATCGGCGAATAGACTAATGACGTGAGCTTTATCGTGGAAATGGAAGCCCGAGAATCCTGTGGACTCTGTCAATAGTTAAGTCAGATGGGGATAATTTAGGTACAACTTTGTGGAAGAGGTCACAAATGTAGTGTGGTAGTTGAGAAGCTTGAATATCTTCAGGTGTAGCACAGATCTTTACGTTATTATGCCGAGATCTATCTTCCAGATCTGCAAGCTTATTTTTAATCCAAGCCATGTCATCTCTTTGGGCTTCATGGGTGTCTATTAATGCATAGCAGAGCAATACAAAGCAGCATGTTTCCCTAGTAAAACACACACAGCACACACAATAAAACACACACAGCACACATTTATCCCTTTGATGGCCCCAGATGTTAACCCCTCCCTGCCCAGTGCCATTAGTAGAGTGTCAGTGCTTTTTATTAGCACTGATCACTGTATTGGTGTCACTGGGGATGTCAGAATGCCCTCCACAGTCCCTCTATAAGTCGCTGATCGCCGCTATTACAGTATAAAATGTTTTTTTTTTTTAAATGCAGTATATATACCGCCATTTGCAGATGCAATAACTTTTATGTAAACCAATTAATTTACACGTATTGGGAAGTTTTTTAACAAAGACACGGAGCAGAATACATTTTGACCTAAATTTATAATGAAATTTGAGTTTAAAATTTTTTTACTGAACATGTTTTATAGCATAAAGTCAAAAATATATATATTTTATTTTCAAAATTGTCGTTATTTTTTGGTTTATAGCACAAGGAATAAAAACCACATAGGCAAACAAATACCACCAAAAGAAAGTTATATTTGTGGGAAAACAAGGACATAAATTTCATTTGGGTGTGGCATTGCATGACAGCGCAATTGACAGTTAAAATAATGTAGTGCCATATCGCAAAAAATGGCCTGGTCAGGAAAGGGGGGGGGGGGGGTCCTCTGGAGGGTAAGGGGTTAATATAACCATAATTTTAATGTCTTGCAGCTGATTTGAATGGAGAATCTCCTATTACATATGGAGAAGGCTGGCATTTTATACTCAATTGTTCTATACATGGTCATCGTAAATATTCTTACCGTAAATATGCTGAGGGGACCTAAGTGAAGTAAAAGAATAAAGTCACAAAAAGGTCCAAAAAAATGTAAAGAGCCGATCACAACTGAAAACACAGACTACTTACTGAGTATGATTTTTCTGATCTTGTCTATTTTTTCTTCAAAAGAATCTAAAACAAATGGAAATAGAACAAACAACACCATTACTACAGACAGAGTTTTTTGTATTATAGGGAACATCTTCTAGTTGGAGAATCTGTTTAACCATTTGCTGACCGCAGATAGCCGGCAAGAATGATGGCTTCACTGCGGTCGGCCAGTTCTGGGTGGACGTTATATGATGTCCTCCCAGAACTCGCTCTCTTACGGACACAGCTGATCACGTGATATGGTAAAAGGCCAATCACAGTGGCCCTTTGCCAAGTGATCAGCCGTGTCCAATGACACACTGACCACTAGGAAATGCAATTGCCGGTTATCGGCTGCACTTTCCTTACACTGTCACAGCATGAGGAAAATACTGCTGAGAACCGGCAGTTGTCATGGGAGGGATTGGCTCTGATCATCAGTGCCCTGATGATCGGTGCTTAGCAGTGCCGTCCACAGTGTGGTCCAGTGCCCAGCCTTGCTGCCTACAAGTGCCCAGCAGTGCCACCCACCTGTGCCCATCAGTTCCTCCCACCTGTGCCATCAGTGCCCACCAGTGCCACCCACCAGTGCCCATCAGTTCAGCCCAGCAGTGCCATCTATCAGTGCCGCCCAGCAGTGCCAGTCCCAGCAGTGCAGCCAGTCAGTGCCCAGCAGTGCCGCCAGTCAGTGTCCAGCAGTGCTGCTTATCAGTGCCAGCTCATCAGTGCTCCCTATCAGTGCCCATCAGTGCAGCCTATCTGTGCCACCTCATCAGTGCTATCAGTACACATCAGCGCTGCCCATCAGTGCCCATCAGAGCTGCCTATCAGTGCAGCCTCATCATCAACACACATCAGTGAAGGAGAAAAATTAGCTGTTTGCAAAATTTTATAATAGAAACAAAGAAATAATTTTTATTTTTCACATTTTTTGCTTTATTTTTGTTTATAGCGCAAAAAATAAAACACCCAGCGGTGAGTAAATACTGAAGCTGAAAATTGGGCTGGTAAGGAAGGGGGTATAAGTGCGCAGTAGGCAAGGGGTTAATATGAGTGTGATCAGAGGAACAATAACATGGCAATGGAGGGCAATAGGGATCAACTTCCACACGGTCCAAATGTTTGTACAGTATTTTGTTCCATGACGGATTTTGATCCATGTGTAGCCATTCCTGTTTGGCAGTGTATTCCGATCAGTCTCCTGAATGTAGATATGTAATGTATTAAAGTCCTGGTTATGCCTAATAACAGCCCATTTGATGACTTATGCCGGGTCCAGGGCCCTGATACTTGTTAAGGGAATTTAGTTTTTTAGACTGCTTGATATATAAATTGTCAAAAATGATATGACTTTATTATGATTTATTGAGTCATATAGATGTTCTATTCGGCCCCGGGATTGAAGAGCAATTTAAATGTTTTTCTCTGTTCTCATTATGGTCTTGAGGTTCAATCCTTGTCTGATATATGAATAAAGTAATGCATTAGTCTTTGTATGTGAACACCTTTGAGGGTATTTGGTTGTAAAATTATAGCATTTTCACCTTTCAAGGGTTCTAATCCCTCTCCACTCTATACAAAATAAAAACATTTTACTTTCAGTTTAAATTGAGGAACATAAATGTGCAAATAAGTGTGAGGGCGCTCCTGCAGTATGGGAGGACTCCATGTAATAAACCATCACAGAGCACCATGTTTGAGTCTCTTGTGTCCCTCCCCGGGTGTTGGCATTTGAAGGGCACACTAGGTCTGAGATGTCCCGCTCACCACTTGTTCCCTGACCAGCTCACAGAACATTTCATACATCCCATGGTTATTGTAAAGTAAAAGCTCAGGAACACAGAGGACTCCCTATAGCATGCAAGATCCACAAGTGCCGCTAGTCGCAGCATTACCGCTGGGTGTGTGGTAGGAACCGCCTGCAGCCAGTGCAGAATCGCCGGACGTGGTGGCGGCACTGACAGGTGTGTTGGAGGCTTAGCAGTGTTTCCCTCCGAATCTAAGGCGCCCTTGAATGTAATGTGCACACCGAGTTTAGAGCCTCTTTTTGGCCAGAAAAGGTGTGCTTTACATTCGAGTAAATACGGTAATATCTGTAATTTTCTGAAGACATGAACTTCTGCACTCTATGCCACTACATTACCATACTTTTCTGCACTCACACTTTTGATAGTCAGCATGTAGGGCCTCCTTTATGTGGACATTCCGATCAGGCCTGTCTGCCCGTTTTTCAGGCAGATCCATTAGGGACCTCTATTCTTCTCTATGGAGCGGTGGGTGTAAATGGACATGTGTCTGCATACACCTGCCAACATCCAGTCCAATCCGCCAAAAACAGACAGATGGGGATCTGTTCCCCCTCCATAAATCAGATTGGATGGCGGTCGGAAGGAAATGGCCAGGCGGTCCACTTCCATCCAACTGTCCATAGAGGACAGTGAGCTGTGTTTGTGTCCGCTCTGCAGCAGTGGAGCGGACACGGACCTGTCATCCGCCTGCTCAGTGGGAATCAGCAGAGAGATCTCCCACTGAGCAAACATATCCGCTAACAGGTCCGCCCCATGTGAAAGGGACCTAAAGGATACTGGAATTTTTACTTTTAATGAGAAACCAAATAAATATCAATCCAAAGAGTGAAAAATAACTAAAATCAGAATGTGTAAGTTTAAAATGCTGAAATGTTACCTTCTGCATCAGGTTGTGGTAGATGTTTATTGATCTCCAT